TGACCTTCTAAGAAGAATGTCACTAATGAGAAACAATCCATTTAGGCTCCCCATATCAGAATTTTCATAGGGATCAATTCAGAATTTCAGTCTCTAAACAGGACTAGAGTAGCAAAACAAAACAAAACTAAAAACTAAACCTATTGCCATTGAATCAATGCCTATTCATGACGACCCCACATGGTTAATATCAACTATCTCCCCTTCAAAGGAAAAAAAAAAAAAACAACTGAATTTTTCCCATCTGGAAGGAAGTTTTGTATCTATTCAGCAAATCCCAGCTCTGAGGTTGCATCTTTCCCATTGTTCTGGTCCCTTCTAGATACCTAACAACAACAACACAAAAAACCAAACTCATTGCCATCAAGTCGTTTCCGACTCACAGTGACCCCTCCTTGGGTTTTCAAGGTGGTATCTCTATGGAAGGAGATTGTCCAATCTTCCTTTTGAAGAGTGGCTGGTGGGTTTGAACTGCCAGCCTTCTGGTTAGCAGTCAAATAACTTAGGTACTAGGCCACCAGAGCTCCCTCTGTACACCTCACTAAACTCTCACTGCCATCGAGTCAGATCCAACTCCTTGGGTTTCCGAAGAGGTATCACTACACAAGTACATTGCCCAACCTTCCTTCCAAGGAGTGTCTGGTGGGTTTGAACTACGAACCTTCTGGTTAGCAGTCAAGTGCCTTAGGTACTAGGCTACCAGAGCTCCCTCTAGATACCTACTGGAAGGAAAAGGAGGCCGTTCACCTTTGTGTGGTGGAGGCTGAGGGAAGTGGGGAAATGGAAGGGAACACTGTCCTTGGCAGGGATGTATTTCTAAAGAACTGACCTTAAAGTTGAGCTAGTAACTGGGAACAGCTCTCAGGACCAGATTCCATTCTAATCCACAGCCAAATGATGATTTTTTATTCATTGTGGAGGGGATACATCCATTCCAGCAAAGTGTAAGCTCGATTAAGGCAGGGACCAGTCCATCTTGCTGTCTGTATAACCAGTAAATGCCTGTTGCATAGTAGATTGTCCTATGAGTTGAATGAATTAAACAGTTAACCAGTGTATGACAATTGCGTATGAGCAGTCAGTGAGTATCATTCCCACACAAAAAGCCGTTTTTCTCAGCAGGTGGCAAGCTTCCCCCACCCCAAGTCCTTTCATTTTAAGACTGAAAATTATGTGGCTCTGCCGTCAGCTCATCTCTTGTATTCTGTGGACAATGCATCAGCGACAAATGTTATTTTAATTCAACTGGTTATTAAACAGCACGAATGGTGAACTTACAAATTCTCTTAAAACTCTGCTTCACATCTGGCAGTGTCGGTTGTAAAACCTCTCAGGTGTTAGGCCCTCTGTTTCATTTAGTCTCTTGGCTTAGCAGAAACTACCCTCCACCTACCGTCCCGGCCACCACAGCTGGGCGCAGTGAGTCTCAACAAATTGCCATTTGGTATTCATGAAGGCAGTTATGAGCCTCAGCCTGGGACCAGCTCCATCCTGAACCACTCTGGCCTCAACTTCCCTTTCGGTAAGAAATCCTAATCTGTTTGGAGTGATGGAAAACGTTTGGAAATGAATCACGGTGATGGTTGGTTGCATCATACAGTTAAATGAATTGATTAATCTCATTCAATTACACACTTAAAAATGGCTAAAATAGAAACGTTTTGTTATATATTTTTTACCATGATGAAATTAAAAAAGAAGTCTCAAACTTCCTGCTGGGAGAATGAGGGTGTGCATTGAATTATTTCAACTTTGCTGTGTTGACTGAAGAAGGACCAAGAGGTGATCAGTGTGGGATGTGGGCATAAACTCTGGTTCTGCCACGAACTAGCTGTGTCACCCTGGACAGATGGGTCCTCTCTGAGACACAGTCTACTTCTCTGGAAAATGGGAATGATAACTGTGTCTACCGCATGGCATTGCTATGAGGAATAAATAAATCAATGTGTATAGACAGCCTTAGGTAGCGTCTGGTACACTGTGAGTACTATATGTTGTTGTTGTTGTTGTTATGTGCAGTCGAGTTGGACCCAACTCATAGTGACCTCTCCTTGGGTTTCCGAGGCAGTATCACTATGGAAGTAGATTGCCCAACCTTCCTGCTGGTTTGAACCACCAGCCTTCTGGTTAGCAGTCAAATGCCTTTAGGCACTATGCCACCAGAGCTCCCTGAATACTATATAAAGATTGGCTATTGTTTTTGTCTGTAAAAAGAGGGCCTCAGAGGTCTCATGGCCCTCCTAGAAGGAAGATTTAGTAACTCTGAAGTTGCTTTTTCTGCATTTTCTACATCCTGGAAGGTCACTGAGAATTTGCTCCATCCAACTCTTCCCAGACCATATATGACTACAGATCAACATTCACACTAGTAGTTTAGAAGGTGAGCAAGTATGTCTTCTCTCACAGTCCTACGTGGTTCTGTGAGAAAATCCTCCAGGGATGGGCAACTCCATCTACCCATGCAATTTGCATGTAATCTGGGATTTTCTGCCAGTTCAGTTCAATTCACACCATCTTGGCAAGAAAATTGGTTCTGTTTGGAGGGTGAGAGAATGTCCAGAGGGACATCTGCACTTGGGAAGGGGAGCGGACTTCTGGATCTCTCTGTTCAGCCTAGCCCCAGGCCCATTTCATCAGAGCACAGAGCCGTTCACCAATTTGGTGATGGAACCAAGAGATCTGAGCTGCTAGCTCCCATGTCTAAAGATCATAGCCATCATCATCATCATCATCATCACTACCATTTTTTCAATTGACAAAGTAGATCACACCCATCAAAACAGGACTGGTTCTGAATACCCCACATCTGTGTCCATCCCCTATTTTTATGAGGAAATTCAGACTCAGAAAAGTTATCACCTGAGGCAAAAGATTGGTGTTTGTTTAAACCAGGCTGCTTTGTTTAAATTGTTGGTTCAGTTTCCTGTGTCGTACTTTCTTCCTCCATAGTAAGCTGTTGATAATGTTGATGAATAAAACCAAAAAACAGTTGCTCTCAAGTCGGTTCCAACTCATGGCAACCCCACGTGTTTCAGAGCAGAATTCATAGACTGTTCAAGGGTGTCATCCTTTAGAAGCCAATCCCCAGGCCTTTCTTCCAAGACACTTCTGAGCTGAGCGGTTTGAACCACCAACCTTTCAGTTAATAGCCTAGCACTTAACCCTTTGCAACACCAGGGCTGCTTTTGTTGAATAGATGGCCTGAATTGACACATTTCCCTAAAAAAGTCAATAACAGCCAATCAACAACTATCAAAAAACTTTATTAATGGGCAGAAGTGATTGATACAATTTTGTTGCCCAGAGCTGCCATCCACTGGATCCTGGAGAATGGATCCCTCTAATGAGGCCAGAGGGGAATCTTAAATCTGAGCTGAGCCTCCCTCTTGGCTGAAATAGCAGCCCCAGGTGCTCCCATCTCTGACCAGTCTGCAGCCGTGATTAGGGGCCCTAATGACCATAATGCCTCTAATGTGGTGTTTAAACCAATAAGGCTTCAGAGAAGTCACGGTATGTTTAATAATGGCTTAATGACTCCTTGTGAGATGCAAGGCTTCTGGTTCCTGTTTGGCCTTGATTTACAGCCCAACTCTGGCTGAGGACAGCCAAGAAACCCCCTTTAAGCCCGAAGCGGAAGAGGGAGGTGTTCACACCAGGCCTATTGGATTCCTTTAAAAATTGCGAATTCAAATGAAATACAAATGATGTTTGACTGCCCACCTCTTTCGCTAGTTCTCTAGAGGCCTTGAAAAGTAAAACGGTTTAACCCAGACCCAGGGCACCTTACTGGCAGGAAGTGAGTAGGGCCCTAGGGGGGAAGTGAGCGGGGTCCTAGGAAGTGAGCAGGGTCCTAAGGCCCTCGGGTATTTCTTCTCAGAACGTGGGTAGGGTGAGGGTTGTTTCTCTGCACAGAATATCTAAGTTACTGTCACAACCCTGTACTTTGGGATTCGGAGACTCAACTCGTAGACACAATCCTCCCTGCACCCCCCTCCAAAGGGACAGCCTGTAGCCGCAGCACAGTGAGCTCTGAAACCACCTCTTTTCCAGTGGCTCTCTGGGCACTTGCAGAGATCATTTGCCCATTGAAAACCAGTCACTCTATGCCTGCTGCTCGAACAGAGACCAACCTCTGCTAACTCCTCCACCTGCCCCACAGGCTGCCACTGCTGCTTGTCCTGAACTGCCCTCTTCAAGTCTCCCTGTTTGTTCCAGCCCTGGCTCTGAGGTCTCTCCACCTGAAACCCACCAAGAATATACAGAAGGACCCCCTAGAGCTTAGTTAGGTCCAACCTCCACATTCACAGAAGAGGACACTAAATGATCACTTCAAGGTTCCACAGCTAATTAACCACACTCAGCCAAAGAGCCCAAGCTCTCCATTCCAGTTCGAAGTTATTTCCACACAATCTGACACTGCTCCCAATTATTCTTCTCCCTGTGAGAAACAAGAGCTCTCTAAAGCAAGAATTTTTCTGCTGAGGGCAATGATTTTCCAGCTCCAGTCAGCTTTGCAAAGAGAATTCGGTGAAGTTCCAGCCAACCCTTGGCCTACCCCCCTGAGCTCTCATCCTTGGCTGAAGTCAGGAGACCAGGCCTAAAAGTGTTAGTTGGTTGACAGTTTGGGAGTGTGGGAAGGTATTTCTGTTCCCCGCACCACTTCATCTCTCTAGGGCCAAGAAAGAACCTCTAGGCTGAGCCTCAAGACCAAGAGTGCTTCTCAGAGCGTGGGACTCAGCCGGATGAGCAGACAAAAGGGATCTCGCTGACTCCCCGCAGGTCCTTGGGAAGAGGCGCTTCCGCCCCCTCTTCGGGGTTGCCTGAGATAGGGAGCTTCGGGTGAATCAGGGGGCTCCCGGACTCCGAGGGGTTAACCCGCGCGAGGCCGCACGTGACGTGAATGGTTCCAGCATTAAGTCAGAGGCGCGGCCCCCTCTCCTGCCCCCCCGCCCCCCGCGGCGCGCGCCGCTCCCGGGGGCTCCGCGCCCCCGCGCCCAGGTCCCTCCCCCTCGGCGGGCGCACACAGGCCGCCCGGGCAACGCAAGCGCTGGAGCCCCCGCCGGCCTGTGCGCCCCTAGCCGGCATGGACCCCGAGCGCTGCGCGCCTTTCGGCGTGGGGCCGGGGCCCGGCTCCTACGCGGCCGCAGGGGATGATCCTCCAGGCCCCCAGGGGACCCCGGCCGCTGCACCTCACCTGCACCCCGCGCAGTCCCGCGCCCCGCGGCTGAGCCGCTTTCCGGCCTGCGGGCCCCTGGAGCCCTATCTTCCAGAGCCCGCCAAACCACCAGCCAAGTACCTGCAGGACCTCGGGCCCAGCCTGGCGCTCAACGGCGGCCACTTCTACGAGGGCTCCGCGGAAGGTAACGCGCGGTGCGGTGCGCGAGCCCTAGCGCGCAGCTCCGACCCTCTCTGTTGCTTCCTTAATTGGGCCAGCCCGGGCCTCCAAGCTTCGCTTCCCCGCTGCCTATTTCTCATCTTTTGCTCTTCTCGTCGCCAACTGGTTTCTCTGGCCGGCGCTGGCCCGGGTCCGGCAAAGACCATCGAGGTGTGGGAGCCAGAGCCATCCCTACCTACCCCCGGCGGCGGGAAGCGGGGCTAGAGGTTGCGGGAGGGTGGGGCAGCGAAGGCCCCTGGCCCAGCTGGGCTGGAAGGCTGCTGGAGCCGGGGAAGAGAGATCGTGCTCACTTAGTGTTGAACTGAGACTGTCGCAGCCCGAACCAGAAGCCTTGAACTCGGTCCGGGCGCTGCATTAAGTCTTTGGCCCTGACACTGGGAGAGAAGCGCGGCTTTTGTGTTTGGCGCCCGTTGAGGGCCCTGAAGCTGGGCCCCAACCTAGAGTGGCCAAACCAGGCTCAGCCGGGGGCTGCGGCCTTGTCTCCGCAGGTTTCTCGTCCTTGGGCCCAGCCTCTGCGGGAAGAGCACTGGCTTTAAGTACTCGCCAGAGGGGCAGCGGCTGGCCTGTAGTGCCGAGGACATTCTGAATCCGAAATAATTGTGTTCTTGTTTCTCAGAGTAACCTGGCCTTTCTGTCATTTTGCGCGGTGGTGGCCACTCTTCTCGCAGTCTTGGCTTCCCCACAAGGGATCGCCATCACTGGGCCGTCGGGAGCAGCCCCGGGCGGGCCTAGTCTCTAGGCGCTTCGGCCTCCTGGAATGGGACCCTGCGTGCAAAGGTTGGTCTGGCCGTGCCTGAGCGCCTAGCTTTGGCAGGCTGATCCACAGCCTGCTGAGGCCCCGCGTACCCGCTGACCTGTAGAAGTCTCGGCGCCCGCGGCCCTGTTGCATCTGCGTTGCCACATCCCACAACGTAGGCCCAGAAATGGGTCATTCAACTGCGCCTTCGCCCCACTGGCGCCTCGCGGGCCTCCACGAGTGGCCGGCAGCTCTAGCCTTCGCCCAGCCAGGAGTCAGGGAATGTGTAGAGGAGGGCGGGGAGGTGTGTGTGGGTCATCGGAGGAAATGAGCGAGTCCGCATTGCTTCGTGCCTGTGCCCTTTGAAAGAGGCTCTCCTGATAAAAACCACAGTTGAGACTTAATGAGAAGCAGTTGGCCTGGCTCCTCTGATCCCAGCCAGACGGCGGCGGCTGCGCAGCGCCGTAAGCACCGCCAGAGACAGGTAGCCGGGCTGGCTCAGCGCGTTGCGTAGTGCCGGGTACCCCAGCCGGCCTGCGTTGGGGCTGAGCGCCAGATCCGGCACGGACCGCCCGGGGCGGGACGAACTATGGAGAGAACCCCGCGAAACCAGCTGCCTGGAGGAACCCACAGACCTCGGCTCCGGCTGCGAGGATATTGTCGACAACGAAATGCGGGGAAAGAAAACCAGAAAGTGTGAATAACAACAACAAAAAAGGGAAAGTGAATCGAACAAAACAGCAGAAGAGAGCCGCGAAAACGAGAGATAAACGGCAGCAGGCGAGCTGGCCAGACGGAACGTTATAAACGAAAAAATAAACAATGCAAGAGGAAGATCGAACGAAGCGGGTAAATGGAAGAGGCAAAGGATGAAGAGCGACGGAGCAGACAAAACGAAAGAAAAAGAGAACATCCTAAAAGAGCCAACAAAAAACAAAAAGAGCAGGAAAATGTAAAATGAGAACAAGAGGGAGAAAAAAACTAAGGAGTCAAGTTGAGCAGGGGACAAGTCAAACGAAAAGGCGGCGTGGCGTCTGCGAGCGCAGCCCGGGGTAGAGACCAGACCGCCGCTCGCCTGTCGGATGCCCTGGCCTGAGCTCGGCTTGCGGGCCACAAGAGTCCCCGCGGCGGAGCTGGCTTGAGAGCGACGCGAGGGCGGCCAAGCTGCCTGCTGGGGAGGGACAGCCCCGGGGCTCAGGCGGCGCAGGCCGGTGGGTGGGAAATGGCTGGCGAAAGGAGAATCGGCCTTATCTCCCGGCTTTTTAATAAGGGATACCGAGCGTTTCCAGTTCAGACCAGTGAGCGCGCAGCTGCGCCCCATCTGCGGCGCGATCGTTGCCTCCGCCAGGCAGTTGCGCGCGAGTGTGTGGCGCACCGCGATCTTCTCCCACCAGTGGTCCGCGCAACCTCAGGCCGCCCTCTACAGAGACGCCCAGCCGCGCTCTGGGCCCAGGCCGCGTCCTTGGTAGTGCCAGCCACTTGGCGCATGACTGCTCTGAGGACGGGAGACGTACCCAGCCACCCTCTCAGGGGACCTCTCAGAACTTGTCCCGGAGCTCTCGGAATGCACCCCTCCGGGACGTGACTCCCACTTGGGTTTTGTCCCCACCACCACCAAGGAAGGCACTGAGCCTGTTGGACGACAAGGGCCGCTATCAGCGGGTGGACAGCGCACCTTCGAGGAGAATTGTAAATGTGGACCCTCAACTGAGACCCCTAGGGAGAATGCCAATGCCAGGCGCTTAAGTTCACTGAGGCGGGGGGGAGGGTGGGGCGCGGGGGAAAAGCCTCTTTGGCTCCGGAGCCTAGGCCGCAGCAAGCTCTGATCTGCAGTTTCAGCCAGCGAGAGGGAATGGCGCGGACTCGGAGTAAGGCTGCAGCGAAAACTGAAGACCCAGCGGCCTCAGTAGATGACTGCCATGGGGACAGTGGGAGAAACAGTAGGCTGCCTGGAGCCGTGTTCCCTGGGTCTGGCCCCAGGTGCGGCTCTCCGGATGCACAGTGGCAGGCATCCAAACGGGCTGCTGGGGAGAGTCCACTACCACTGGTGGACTGGACTCTGGGAGCCAGAGGAGGGAGCCATATAGTGAAGTGGGGTCAGGGATGGGCTCCATTGCCTGCCTCAGAGACCTTGTCCTCTCCTGTTGCACGTACCTGTGCTATGTACTTATATACCACCCTGTGTTAGTGGGGTCGTGCTTTGTGCAAGCCAGGAGTCCCAGGTCTAAATTCTAACATGGTACTCCCCTTTAACTGTGCAGTGTGTGGACCAGATGCAAGCAACTGTTATACACACACAGCCTGTACTTACCTTGAGGGCACCCTGGGCGTTAAAGAGTGGCCTTCCCCTTGTAAGCTTAAACTCAAAACTGGTAGCTCCAATTCCTGGTCTGCCTTTCCTTGTTTGCTGCCTTCCATTTATCCAACTTGTATCTTTCTCTTTTGGACCTTGCTCCTCAGGAGGCTGCTTGGTATTGTCTGAGGAGTGCCTCTGTTCCTGAAGCGGGGTGCTGCCCTCCCCCTGGAGTCTTCCAGGCAGATCAAGGAGATTTCAGGGAGTGGAAGAGAGCTAGGAGAAGTTCTCTGGCCCCCGAAAGGGCTTAGAATGGGGAGTGGTGGGAGGCAAGCAAAGGTCAGCAGCCTTGGCCTCTTTTCTTGGGTAAAAGCTCTGAGAAGTTCTGCTGCACTTTCATCCCTTGACCCTGACAGCCAAGTGGTTTGTGGTCAAGAAGGCAAGCCCCAGGGCCCCCGGTTCTGGTCACTGCCTCTGAGCGGGTCCTATTTGAACAGACCCTGAGGGGCCAGGAGGCAGATATGCAAACCATAGAGTCTGGGCTTTAGGGGGGGGTCTCTCAGTTATGTCAGTGTTCCCCGAACCTAGTCCTGCCCCCCCACAGTCCTGAGTCACTCACTACTGCCTGGCATACAACTGGGATCCAGGGCCTCCCTCTGAACCCACAACAAGGAACTCTTCCCTCTCAGGCTGCACATTTTGAGGGCTTACCAATTGCAAGGAGTTCCCTTCCAGTCACCCTGGTTTCCTAGACAGTTTTCAGTGATTAGGTTCAATGTCCTTGAGTTCCCTTTCCTAACCTGCCATATGGAACTACCCTGATAACCAACATGTGTTTGCCAGAAATGGAAGTCAGGGCTCAGAGTATTGTCTTCTCTCTGCTCCACCTGAGTTACGAGTTATCAGCTGGTACCTGGGCTGTCACTGTGTCACTTCTTGTACAGGCCTGGCAGATCCCCCAAAGCCAGATCCAACCTGACTCTCCCAGGCCTCCAGGATGCATTGACAATGTGGAGGTGAGGTCATAGCCTAGTGGTGCTGGGAGGGCACTGACCACCTTTCAGCAGGTGATGGGAAGAGAACCCATCTTATCCTCAACAGTGCAGAGAGGGACTCATCAGATACCAAGAAGCCTGTCTCTCTTGTCCCAGGCTTCCTCTGACTAGCTGTGATCCTGGGGTAGAAACTGCCTCTCTGTGCCAGCAACCTTGGGCCTCCTGGGAGCTGGGCCCCTGCTGGGGATGGGACCAGGGCCAGGGAAAGGGCTGTGTGAGTCAGTGGGGCGTCTTCGTGGCGTCGCCTCTGCCATCCCAGTGGACTGCTGAGGAGGGATTTCATGGGATGTTGCCGGGGGTCCTCGCCAGAGGCAGAGGGCGGGGTGATCGGGGTGACCTATTTTTCACCATGTCCCAGTCATGGTGGGTCTCCGCCAAGCTTCCCAAGTGAGGGTTAGCACGTCAGAGTGGGACTGCTGGGAACAGTTCCCAGTCTGCTGTAGGGTCACCCCTCCTTGTTAATCACAGCTATGGAGGCAGCCTGCCCTCCTGAGGAGGGAAGGGCAAGGCAAGGAGCATGATGAGGAAAAGGGATCTGTGGTCATTGTAACACGGTCCCCAATTCTCTTTTTCCCCTCATTACCTACCTCCTGCCTTTCTTCTCATGCTTGAGCTTAAATCCTTTCCAAGACATCACAATTTTAGGAGTGATAGAGAGAGACCAGCTCTCTGGAAGTTTCTTTGCCCTGTCTTGCCCCTTACACCCCAGGGCTGGGAGATTTGACATTGACTTAAGAACTGGGGTTCAGAGCAGGAGGCACAATCAGACCTTCCCTCTACCTGCCTGATCCTGCGAGCAGGGGTGTGGGCATAAGAGCATGGGAACCAAGGCCTGCAGTCAGGGACACAAAAGCACTGCCTGGCAAGGGTGGGAGATGTCAACCACCCCACCCTCACTCCCTCTCCCCACCCCCAGCCTCAGCCCTGCGAGAGTGGTGGTCTCTGCCATGGTGCCAATCCTGGCACCTCCACACCCTGTGGGATGCACTACCACGGAGCGATTCCCTGAAATGAGCCCCTCACCCCCACCCCCGGCCCCACAGATCCTACCAGACCACAGAGCACATGGCTCCCCAGGGCCCCCTCCCCAGCCAGAGGCTCAGCAAGCAGGCCTCAGAATGCCAGGCTCCCGTGGAGGGTGACTGCCCTGAGGAAGGGAAGGGAAAGGAAGGGGGAGGCGGGGACTGAGGCGTCAACGTTCTTCCCCTCCCTCCATTCCACCCACAAAACCCCCTGGTTCCGTTTCCATCCTCCTTTTTGTGTTTTCCATTGCAGCTGAGGAGAAGGCCGCCAAAGCTGCCAGCTTTCCCCAGCTGCCCTTGGACTGCCGAGGAGGCCCCAGGGACGGGCCCTCTAACTTGCAAGGCTCTCCAGGCCCCTGCCTGGCCAGCCTGCGTGTCCCCCTGTCCCCTGGACTCCCTGAGTCCATGGAGTTGGCCAAGAACAAGAGCAAGAAGCGCCGTAACCGCACAACCTTCAGCACATTCCAGCTGGAAGAGCTGGAGAAGGTCTTCCAGAAAACCCACTACCCTGACGTGTATGCCCGGGAGCAGCTGGCTCTGCGCACGGACCTGACGGAGGCCCGAGTACAGGTGAGGGCACCATGTGCAAGAGGCTCTCTGACTGCTTCAACCCACCGAGATGTAGGCCAGACCATAGGTGGGCTTGGAGTGGTGGGTCCTAGTGCCTCACAGACCTGGCTTCCCCAGCCTGCCCCTTCTGGGCTTACCCTCCCAGCCCAGTTCCTCTGCAGCCACAGGTTTTTCCAGCCCAAGTTGAGGTTTATGCAATGGGAGAGGGCCAGGCAGTATATTGGGGTAATGGCCCCTTGGAATCAAAAGACCTGTGTGAGAGCCCCAGCTCTGCCATTTACTAGCTGACTGGGTGACTTTTAAGCATGTCATTGAATTTCTCAACCTCAGTTTCCCAATTTGTCAAAGGAAATGATAGTACCACCTGTTTAGGGGGTATCTTGAGGATCACAGATATGGCAACATTTTGGAAGCAGTGAAGTGCTAAACATGTATCAGGGCTGCATCTGAGGTCAGTGTGACTGACCAGAATGGGAGGGGCCCCACTAGAGGATCTTAGGATCAGTGACCCTCAAAGTCATCCTGGGCCGACAGCCTTCAGTCCCTGCCAGCTGCCAGACCATGGCTAGGGGAGCTTGGTTGGGCCCCTCCCCACTCCAGCAACTCCTTCCAACAGAGACCAGGCCCCAGGGCTTCCTGGTTGAGGCCCCTCCAACATCACACAGGGTGGAGCCCAATCTGTGGGGATGGGTGGGGTAGGGTTGCTGGGAACCAGGGAGAGGCAAAAGGGAAGGGAAGTCCTTGTCGGAGAAACATTGGAAGTGAGAAGGAAGTGAGAAAGATCATGAAGGTGGCAAGCAGGGGTTGGGAAGAGAGAAGGTGACTTCAGTATAAGCCTGCCCCAAGAGGAAGATAGCCACTCCCTTGCTTGGATCCATAGCAGGTCCCTGATGCCAAGCGGGGGCACTGGGAGAAGACTTGGGTTGGGCTTCCAGGGAGGAGGGGAGAGGCAGTGACCTTTCACACTGAGGAGTCTCTGCTTCTCCCACCACCAGGGAACTGCATAGTAGCGAAGCTTATGCTTATCACATCCTGCATGGGGCCCTTCCAGAGACTCTTTTGGAAGGTGCTGAGGGGCAGGCCCAGTATATAAAGAAATCAGCTGCCTTCTAGAAGAGCAGGCCCTACAACGGGATCCAACATAGGGCCAGAGGGCCCTGGGCTGTTTCCCTTTCTTGGCTGGGTCCTCTTGTTGATTTTGTCCCTCCAAGAGGCCCCTGAAACAAATTTCTGGGACTGTCTCCTGGGATCATCATGTCCTGGGATCATCAGGGTGAGAGACCCAGCAATGAAGACAACCTCAGATCACACAAACCATAGAAGTCCAAAATGCCTCAGCAGGCCTCTGGAGGGAGCTGCTTTGATGATGTGGAAAGCATATTCCCCCACTCCTCTCCTAGGCCTTTTCAGGAGAAAAGGAAGGATGGGATCAGGGTGCAGAAGGGTAGCCATGAGGCTTAGAATTTGTAGAATCTTCCCCAATGATTGAGGCCCTAGAGTATGATCCAAGTAAGACCACACACCAGACAATGCAGAGGGCAGGCCCAGAGCCCAGGCAGAGGCTGCAGTGGGGACTCTTGGGAAAAGTGGGTAGTGACAGGGAAGTGAGTTCAGTTGGCAGTAATCAGATTCTCTTACTCCAGGCTCCTAGTGCTTTCAGGGGAAGGAGAGTGAAAAGAAATTCAGGCTCTGGTGGTGAAGTGCTTAAAGCATTGGGCTGTTAACCAAAAGGTTGGTGGTTTGAACTGACCAGCTGCAGGACAAAGATGAAGCAGTCTGCTTCTTTAAAGATTTACAGCCTTGGAAACCCTATGGGGCAGTTCTACTCTGTCCTATAGGGTCACTGTGAGTTAGAATTGACCTGATGGCAGTGGGAATCTGGAGTGGCCTTTCCCTGACTTTGTCTTAGGCCTGCTCTGGGATCTCTGCAACCTAGGAGTATGCACAGCTTCTTACCTCTCCGGACCGTTGACCCTGGTTCAGGTGCCTTACCTGCCTGCATCTAAGTAGGAATGATCCAGCTCAGATATACTGGGGAATGGGGTGGGGGTGGGGGACTGGGTAGCCCAGGTAGGAAAAACCTAAGCAAAGACAGGAGGATTGAGATAGCAGAGTGTTTAGAAGGAGAGCTGGGGCAGGGACTTGGAGGCAACTGGAAAGAGATGAGGGCATAGACAGGGGCAGGGGCCAGTCCCAAGGGCTCTTGTTAAGAAGATGGGCTCTGGGCTGAAGTCACTAGGGAGCTAATGAGAGTTTGAGCAGAATAGTGACCAGAACAGAAATGTGGTTCAAATTCCTTGGGTGCTGTGAAATGGTGAGTTGAAAAAGGAAATGAGGCAGAGGGACTAGACAGCCCAACATACTTGCACAGGTACACAACTCCACCCCTGAGGCCCAGGGACAGTGCTGACACCCATACCAGACCCAGCCAGGCTGGAGAACTAGAGAGGGTGACTCAGCCTTGTTAGTGGCAGCCCAGGGGGCCCATGAGGCCAGAAAACTGTGGGTGGGGTCTCTCCCAGGTTCCATCCCAGGCTCTATGGCCCTGAGTGCTGTGTGCATTTACAAGCCCCTGCAGCTCAAGATCCCCCAGCCTAGGCCAGCTCCCTACTCAATAGAACAACACAACCACTGACTGTGTCCTGAGGTCTCCCCACTCAGTTCCTCCCATCCCTGCCCCCAGGTCTGGTTCCAGAATCGAAGAGCCAAATGGCGTAAACGCGAGCGTTATGGGAAGATACAGGAGGGGCGAAACCCCTTCACGACTGCCTATGACATCTCTGTGTTGCCCCGCACCAACAGCCACTCCCAGGTGAGACCCCACTCCACCCCCAAGTCAGGGCCTGGATATGTCCCACAGGGCAGAGTATGGGCTCTGGCCCACAAAGACCTGGGGCAGTGTTAGGGCTCTGCATGACCTTAGGCAACTCACATAACTTCTTCCTCTGCAAAATGAGGCCTTGTGAATGATCCCTGCAGAGCACCTGTTATATAGCACCTGGCACAAAGGAACCACTGAAGGTCTCACTTGGAGAAGCAGTGGTAGGGGCCTCCTGAGATGCTGCTGCTAGTGTGGGGGACTAGGAGGGAATAGATTCAGAATCTGAGCCAAGTGGAAGTTTCTTGGGCCCCAGGGGTACAGAGAGAGTTCCTGGGTAAGGGAGGCAGCCTCTGGAGCTACAGTTCACGGGCCTTCTTTATTCCTTTCTTTTTAGCTGCAGAACTCCCTGTGGCCTAGCCCAGGGGCAGGGAGCCCTGGGGGCCCCTGCCTGGTTTCTCCAGAGGGCATCCCCTCCCCGTGCATGTCCCCGTACTCCCACTCCCATGGGAGCATGGCTGGTTTCATGGGGGTGCCATCCTCCCCTGGAGCCCACCCTGGCATCTACTCCATCCACGGCTTTTCCCCCACCCTGGGGGGCCACAGCTTTGAGCCCTCTCCGGACAGCAACTACAAGTCTCCAGGCCTCGTCTCACTCAGGGTGAAGCCCAAGGACCCACCCAGCTTGCTGAACTGGACAACGTGATGGGCCGTGTGACACACAGACTGAGCCGCTCAGCCCCTTTTTTGTTCCCAGCTGCTCCCACCCCACCCTTGCCTGGACCCCAGAGAGGATACACCTCTGCCTCCAGCCCCACTTGGTTTCTGGAGGCCTGGGCAGAGCAGCTGGGACCCTCAGCTACAGGGTTGTTTCTCCGAGAATAATGTGGGACTGCCCAGAACAGTGTGGGCTTCAAAGCAGGTGCCCAGGCCTCTTCCTATGACATACTGGATTCCCTCACCCAAACTGGCCTAGAGGGAAGAAGACACTGCCCTGCTTCCTCCAGACTTTGTCCAAGTCTGTATCCCTCCAGCTGAAATGGCTTAATTGGATCCTCATTCAGGGAACCCAGGAGAATGGGAGGAGGGGGATGCAGATGAACTGAGCTTCATGCGAAGTCCAGAAAACCAAAAGCAAAGTCATGTTTGACCACCTCAGGCCAGCCTCCTGTCCCCCTTCCTATCACCAGGGGCATGAGCCCAGGGTCCTGGCACTGACAAAGGCCTAGAAGCTGGTATCTTCAGAGGGCATCTCCTCCCCGTACATGTCTCTCTACTCCCACTCCCATGGGAGCATGGCTGACTTCATGGGGGTGCCAGCCTCCCCAGGAGCCCACCCTGGCATCTACTCCATCCACGGCATCAAGGGGTTTCCCCAGTTCCAGCCATGCCTGCCTCCTGCTCCATGGTTCCTTCCCTAACATGCTGTGGAGCTCCCTTCCCCTTTTAAGGGGGCAGAAATTCCACCAGAAATCACCAAACTGTGGCTTCTTCCATAGCATCAAGCCAGAACTAAACCATGAAAACCATAGGCTGCCTTGGTCTCTTCATTGGATGTTGGCGAGAATAAAACAGATCTCCATAGACTCCAGGCCCTGAGATCCTGATCCCCACTTTTGTAAGGATAATTTTGTAAAAAATGAGCTGCCTAGCATAACAATAAAGGTGGTGGTATTTTTTATTCCAGGTGACTGTGTATCCACAGTGCTCAGCTCTTGGCTGCAGTCAGGCTGTCAGACTGCTCTGTACTCAGAATCCAGGCTGGGCCAGGGATCCCAGAGGCTTAGAGGAAGGTGGGCCGGTGGCAGAGCCCTCAAGGCCAAAAGCCAAGTACATTTGATAGGGAAAATTGGGGGTTAGGGGACAGAGATAAGCTTGTGAGCTGACAACAGAAGGGAGGTGAAATGGAAGACCAGGGTGCCCACTGAGGGCTCTGAGCCCCCCATCCACTGGGACCCGGGAGTGGTGGGGGTGGAGCAGCTCCCCTCTCCCAGACGTCCCAGGAGCATGTCTGAGTTGTGGGGCAGAGACGAAAGCCAGGACTCTTTCTTGTGGTTTCAGTGTATTGCCCGTTCTATCCTTCATCCCCACTTTCTGCCTTATCTCCTCAGCTTGCAAGGCAGGAAAAAGTGGGCCAGGCCCTCCCACCCTCCAGTAAACACAACCACATTGCTCAGAAGAGCTTAGCCTTAGCTAGCTGCACCCCCACCCCCACCCCCACCCCATCTCTCAAGCCCAGAGAAACCTAAGCACACAAAGACACATCATTGCCCGGCCATTCCCAGGGAGGCAGCAAGTCCCTAATGAGATGGCAAGACCCTCACTGCCCAAGCACTAAGGCCTGGACTCTTCACTCTGGAACTTTAGTGCATTCCCCAGAGGAAACCAGTGACTTCCCTTCGCTTCCTGCCATTTCTCCTTTCTGCACTGACATTGGTTCTGAGGTCCAGGGGTGAACCCAGGCCCAGGGGGAGGAGGGGACCTATCAGGAAGGGAAGAGAGTCAGGGTAGCTAGGGATGCCTCTCCCTAGCTACCGGTGCTGGATAGACACTCTCACCTAGCTAGTCAGGGATGGAACTACGGCTAAGACCACTGCACTAGAAGTTTCTTCACCCAGTGAGTAGTCAGCACAGTTTTGGACTTCTGCCTCACAAAAAGTCAAAGAGATTGTTTTGTTCTACAAATATTTACTGCTGTGTTTGAGGCACAGTGCTAGGTGCCAGAAACAGAGCAATGGACAAGAAAAACATGGCTCCCTCTCTCACAGCCTAGAAAGATGCATGGAAGAGGGAAGGATCTACAAAAGCCTAAGCAGAGGAAGCAGAAGTGAGGAAGAAGCAGATAAGAGAAGAAATTAAGCAAAGCCAGAGTTGAATGCAGCAAGAAGCAGAGGTGGCAAAGGACAGAAGAGAGCCCTGCTCAGGAGAGGGGCCCTGATGGGGGACGGCACGGGCAGGCCAAAGACCAACTACTGGCTCCAATCCAGGGGCATCTGCCCACAGCTCATATTTTTCTGTCCTGTGGCAGCTAAATGAAGAGAAAGTTAACTTGACAACCGCCCACTTCACACGTAATGAATATGAATGGGCATCCCGGAGCCTGTTCCCCGGGATTATCTGTGAGCTGACAGTCCTCCCTCTGTCTGGGCCATCCCAGCAGCCCTGTCCCCCAGCTAGGGTGCAGGCAGCCCTTCCACCTGCTTCCTATTAGCTGTGCTCCCCTCCTCCCTCACACTCTGGGCATCTCATCCCTGAGGCACAGCCCCCGGGCTCTCCAGGCGCCCTTTCCCCAGTCTCATCAGACCTTAGCCTCATGGTTTTCTCAAGGCAATCTGGGGCTCTGGCCACCTTTCTGGAAAAGGCAAAAAGGAAACAGCCCCACCTGGAATCTCAACCTTAAGAGAGTTGCCAGGCTCAGTCTTCCATTGCTGAGGTCCCAGTGAGGCCCACCCAAAGATTCCAGAGCACTAAATATTAGTCCTGGCAGGGGGACAAGGGGACACCAGGCTGGGATGGAGGACCTTAGCTAGGAGGTCTTTTAGTCCAGGTTTCCCTTCCCCAGGCAAGCAGTGGGAAATGCTTCTCATTAGAAGTAATCTGCCTCCCCTACCTCCCCCAACCACTTACACATCAACCTGAATTACAGCCCCAGAGTGCAGACCCTCTGCCTCTGCAGCCTCAGACAGGCAAGAGCCAAGCATTGTCAGGAACTGGGCCAAACCAGAACACTTCCTTTCAGCAGCAGCAGAGAAGGTACACACCTCAGGCCCTGCTCCCACCCTCCTCACTGCTGCTTCCTGGAGGGCAGTGAGCACAAAGGTGCCCAGTCAATAAGAGGAGCTCTCCCCAGCCCTCTCTCCTCCAATAGGAAGGCATGGGCTAGACCAATCAGCCCCAGGTAGACCCCCGCACCGTCTCTACATTTTTGCTTTCTTGCCTTTATGGTCATCTCTCCACTAATTGTGAGCTGGTTGAGGAAAGGAAAGGACTGTGTCCTATTCATCTGGACACCCTGGGCACCTAGCACAGGGCCTTCAGGGTGTGATGGCAGGGTTGCTAGATGAGTGGCCAGCTCCTGTGAGAAGCCTGGGTCAAACAAGCCAATCTGTCACCAACAAGCCTTGGAACTGTGATCAGGTCCTTCCCTCACCATGCTGGCTCCTGGGCCTGAATGAGGGGTTCACCTGCCCAGGCTCTGAGGCCATTATAGTGTCCTGTGCTTTAGTAAGTTAGAGGAGGGGCTGGGAAAATAAAAGATGAGGAGGGAAGACACAGCCTCAGGCCAGATAGGTTCAGAGACCCAAGCTGCATGGGGTTAGTATGAAAATCCATCCTCCCCAAACTGAACTCCCAAGGCCATATCTTTCCTATCAGTCCTGGCAAGACACAGCAGAAATCCATCATGCACATGAATCGTGTTCAATTCCCTTGCCCTGTGCAAGTTACTTTTGCAGCAAAGGGCCAGTTGGTTGTGAGGCCCTCACATCTCACAGGGCAGTGACCATGAGCAGTATACTGCTGGCTTCCATCCTGGCTACTCGCAACCATGCTGGATCTCCATGGCCTGTCCTGGAAGCCCCAGCAGGACCCAGGCCAGGCTAGCACTAAGTGGAATGACCAACAAAGGGGAGATTCTCCCCCAAATATATTTCCTTTATAAATTAAGACCTCTTGAAGATATAAGAACACCATAAATATGGCTGACAAGAGAAAGGACCTTCAAGCAATCTGAAAAGGACACATACCTTTTCACTACTGTCAGAATGGTAGAATTCTGACACAGAGTCCCAAGACAGAGCTAGGCAGAGGGAGAAGTGTCTACAGATCTGAAGCCGAGTCCAGACTCCTAGAAGCCTCGAACTCCTACCACTTTCCTTGCTTCTCCCTCAGTCATAGGAGGGAGTTCTTAGGCACCTCAACACTCCCTTTCCCACTACAGAGCTAACTCTTGATGATCTGCTTCCCCAGGCTCTGAGCACATGAGCTTCCTTTCAGTCCCAACCACCTGCCTCAGTGAGGGCTAGAGCAGTTGACCCTGCTCTTTGACCTACCCATCCCTCTCTCCCTCCCTCCCTCCCTCTGCAGCACTAAAACTAGTTTGGCTGAGGCTAACTCAGGGATACTACCTAGAGAAACCTAGGGTTCCTACTGCGATTGTATCAAACCCAGGCGCTGCAGGACAACGAATCACTCCAGCCATGCACAGCCCTGGAGCTGGGCCGAAACAATCCCAGATTAATGTGGAGAAAGAACATTTCAAGCAACCTATACATATTGTCCAGCCAACTCTCCTTCCCACCTTTAAATGGGAAACCCAAGCAGTCTTGGAGGGGCAATTGGGTGACCTATCAAAATCCCCTTTCCAGACCTGGAGGAGATATTCAGAGGTCATATTTCCTTCACACAAGGCAATGGGGATTGTTTTTACTTCCTTTTAATGTAAACAGAATACATAAACACATTAAAAACCCCAACGTAACACAAAGAGAAATACACACAGATTTATACAGGTTGTCCTTGGGTTACGAAATCTGTTCCAAAGTGTCTTTAAGTTGAATTTGTAGGTATGCTGGTTCAGGTACAGGGTTCTTATTTAGCCTTACTTTAGTGCAAGAGATAGGAACTCTGGTGGTACAATTGTTAAAGCACTTGGCTGCTAAACCAAAGGTGGATGGTTTGAACCCACTAGCTGCTCCCCAAGAGAAAATGTGGAAATCTGCTCCTGTCACAATTTATAATCTTAGAAACCCTATTGGGCAAGTTCTACTCTGATCTAAAGGGTGATCATGAGTTAGAATCGACTTATTGGGCAGTGGGTTTGGTTTTGGCTTTAGTGCAGGAAAAGCCTTCAGGCCTTTTCCGTCAGTTAAAAGCTACACGAACAGCAAGTGACAGTGATTGTGATGGACTTGTTTCAAGTAGAGGTTGGTTCAACTGTTTCAAAGTGAGGACAAATTTATACATTAAAAGGCAAGTATGAGTTGTCCCTAAGTCAGACATCTATAACCCAAGGGCTGCCTGTATATAAATATTTACAGGCCCTTAGCAAACCTAAAGGAAAAAAATGGCACCTCTGGTTAAGGGGAAGCATCTCTTTCTACCCCAACTCTGTCCAAGACCGAAGTGCCGAGGCAGCTGTGGAGGCCTCTGCAATTGCTTCTGGATGCAACTTAGCAGGAGGCTGGAATGAAATCAGAACCGCCCCCTCCCACCAGAGCAAAACCCAGATGCTCATTTTCTGGCCCTGACCTTAAACCCCCTCTTCCTTGACAAGCTAACATGCCAAGGATCTCTGTCTCCAGAGGAGTCTGCTTGTGATCCCTAAAATTTGATGCAGGGAGAACCCAAGTTTCTCCTGGTTTTTCCCAGCCTCAGGCTGACTGAGAAATGAGATGCAACCAACCATGTCCAAGAGAGGAGGGTGAGTGAAGGAAGAGCGACTCCAAGCAGAGAGATGACTGCTCCTGAGCGGGACACTGATGAGGCCAAACCTGGACTCATCCACCAGCCCAGTGCTGCCTCGCAGGGCAGAGTGGGGCTGTGCTGCCACCTGGAGGAGGACGGGAGCACTGCAGCAATGAACCAGGACCACCCCCTTGAGTAGCTTGAGATCACCCCTTCTTCCCTTCTCAGTCCCCTGCCCAGAAGCCTCACTGCAGCAGCTCTTCCCAGGAAATGGGCTTGGAGAAGACCTCCCTTTCTAGCCAGAGGTCGTAGTTCATCTGGAAGTCCTCAGGGAGATCTACCCGCTGGCCTAAGACACTCTGTAGGCAGTTGTCCACTGGCAGAAAGTCAGGGTTGCTGTGGGCCCGGTCATAGCGTCGAGCATTGAAGCGTTCGATGTTGGCCCGGAGAGCACATTCCTCTGCTTGAAAGTCCCAAGGCCGGGCATCGAGATCTGGGACAAAGCAGTAAGACATGGGTAAGAGCCAGGCCCTGGTGGCAGCTCCCTCTGAGTTCATGATAGGCGTTCAGGAGACAGGTCGGCCAGGGTTTGGAACACAGTCAGCCGAGACCAGAACTCCTCCAAGCCCCACACTTTGTTGGCAGATTATAGGGAAGAGTCCAAAGGAAGACTGACAAGACTGTTTCCCAGATACAAAGGAGAGTCAGGTAAAAGGAGAAGAGTTAGATCTACTGAGAAAGAGGCTTCTAAAGCTGGGTTTATGTGGATAAATGACCCAGAGAGGGAGAGCCACAAGTACAGTGTGCTTTTTGAAAGGTTCAATCCTCCCTGGCTCTCTGGGATCACAGGCAGAAACCTGGAGAGTTCTTCATTGGCTAACTCTCTCTCATTCCCTGACCAGGGGCTGTGTGCCACCTGGCTGTAGAGGACACAAAGATGAATCTGTCCTGGCCTACAGAGACTCACAGGGCATCAGAAGTGTAGACACAGTCAATGGCCCATGGTGCTCTATGCCAGGAAGTGTAACAACAACAGCATAGCAAAATGCTCAGGGAACAGAGGGCAGAGGAAACACCACCACCAGTGCAGGACACAACATACCAAATACAGAAAAGCTGGGGCAGGGGTAATGTTGCCACAGAAGGTTGGTTGTCCAGATGGGAAACACATGGCAAATGGTCAGGGATAGAGTGCCCCCATGTGCCTGGAACCCTATGTACAATACAGGCTGGGCTAAGGGCAGGTAATGCGACTGGTCAGAGTACAAGGGGAAATGGGTGGGTCTCAGATGCTGCATTTAAGAGTTTGGCTCTAATTCTAAGGGAGAGAAAAAGCAAATGAAGGATTTTACTCAGGGAGCTATTACCATAGGGTATGCATTTTGAAAAGATCACCAAGGCAAAGCTGGAGGCACTGATGGAGGGGAAGAAACAGGACTGCAAGGAAGCCAACCAGGAGTAGAAAGAGTTGCCAGTCAGAACTAAGGCAGTTGCAGCGGGGATGGAAAAAGGGGACAGAGTCTTATGACAATTTCTAAAAGAGGAATGACTGAGAGGAGGGACAGTGAAGAATGAGAGATGACCACAGGGACCAAACCTGGGTACTTCTCAAAGTCCTTCATAGAACTCTCACTCTGAGGCTACATAAGCAGTGGGCTCTCACCTGTTCCTCAATGGGCAGAGACACCTTAATGTAACCAAACAGGGAGTGACGGTCCCCTGTCCCCTACACACTCCCCACCCTGCTCTGTACCACAGCCTCACCATTGCCGTATGCCCAGTCGTCATTCAGCCGATGCCGCACCTTCTGGTAGATGGCTGACATTGTCTTCATGTTGCTCTTCCGCCACTGCCGCCCCAGGTATTTGGTCTGCACCTTGAGCAGCTTCAGCACATAGAGCTGCATCATGGCTTGTTTCACCTTTAGGGCTCGCTTCAAGATGGGGGCTGACTTGAACACCACCAGCATCTGTGAAGGGGCACGAGAGAGCAGCTCATGTTGAGGGCAGAAATAAACACGTGTACCACCACACTGCTGCTCAGTCGTCTTCTGCATTATGGGCAAGGTGACCAACTGTCCCAGTGTTCCCCAGACTGAGGGGTTTCCTGGGACATGGAACTTTCGGTGCTAAAATCAGGAAAGTCACAGGCAAATTGGGATGGCTGGTTGTCCTAAGGATGGGTCTTTTTGGACCTGAAGAAAGCTATGAATTCCTTCGCCAGAAACATTCCCATGTGTATATGCATAATTTCAGAGGGTTCATGGGCCTCTCCACCCCAAGGCATCCACAAACCCAGGTTAAGAGACTCCCAGCGGCCTATTTATGTTGCCAATTGGGATTAAGAGGATATAGAAAAATCTCTGCTATAAATGTGGATCTGTTTCAGTGCATGTCTGAGCTTCACCCAGCCTGCGGTTCTGCTCACCAAGCAATCTGCCCTTAGAAAGCAAGAATGCGGTTACAGGAAACAGTGAGAAGGATAAAGCTGCAGCAGCAAGCCCCACCTGCAGGACTCCCTACTCACAACATGAAGGGGTAGAGTGAAGGTACAGGGGTGTGGCTCTCTTCTCTGAGCTCCAAGTTTCCTGCCAGTTGAATGCACTGACTCACCATTGTCCTTGAATGCTTCCATTTGGTCAGCTTGTTCAAGATTCGAAGCAGATTGATACAAGAAAAGAGGTTCCTCCAGCAAAACTGGTTATTGTCACCTGCTTCCTGTGGGGTAAACCCAGGAAAAAGCACAACCCTCATCAAAAAACCAAACCAAGTACCATCAAGTCAATTCCAACTCATAGTGACCCCTTTGGGTTTCCACGGTAGTAAATCTTTACAGAAGTGGATTGCCCAGTCTTCCTTCTGCGGAGGGACTGGTGGGTTTGAACCACCAACTTTCCAGTGAGCAGTCAAGTGCCTTAGGCACTGCACCACCAGAGCTCCTTCACAACCCTCATAGCAGTTCCTAAAAGGCCTTCATATATATGATCCCAGAAAAGCTGGGTCCACATGCCTCAACCTGGAGAGGGTTTGGGTGGCAGGGGTAGGGGTGGGGAAAACCCAACCCCCTACATGTGCCCAGAGTTGGGGGCACTCTACCCCAGAAGTTGGCATAGAGGAGGGGACTCCCTAGAATTTCCCTGTAGGAAACCTAGACCAGGGGTTATTGCCTTAGTTCTTCATTGCTGGAGATGTGAAGCAACTCAACTGGGTGAATTCTGAGTCAGCAGCTCCTAAAGATCAAATTCTGACTAATCCCTGTATCCAAATCTTTCAGGTCTGCTAGACATGCTGCCCCCCACCCCCACCCCAATCTATGCAACTGCTATTCTTTAAAAAGCAAGCACTGCATACTGCACAGAGCCCACCTGTGGAGCACACCTCTACCCTGTATTGGGGGAGGCAGGACCTGTTGACCCTCATGCCAAAAGGACAGCTGGTGAGAGCCCAGCCACTCACCAGACTCTCTGCAGTCAGCTCTGGCAGCTCATATACCACACAGTGAGGATAATCCAGGACAGAAATGCTGCGGGGGCAAGAGAACCCGGTGCCGCCATGAGCACAGCCCTGGGTCTGCTGGAACAGCCCTGGGTCTGACCAGGTTGGCTCCTGGCTCTCCTCCTTCACTTGCTGGAGCAGAAGCAAGAATCTACCTTGTCTGCATCCCTTCCCCACTATATATAAGATGAGAAAATATTTGCCACAAGGGAACCATTGGGTCCCTCTGTGGCTAGAGGACAACTTGTAGTATGTGTGTGTGTATGTGGGTGTGTGTATCTGTCGGGGAATGGGGAGGCCGTGGGGCAGCCCTCTCCACAGCCATGAATCTGGGGTTGGGGTTAGTTCTAATTCAAGTTCTCACCCAGGCAGTGGCTGGCTGACACCCCACCAGGTAGTACACTGCACTGATGAGCAGGGGAAGGGCTAAGGGTCAGCCCACAGGGCATTACAGTGCACATTGCTGAGCTTCTTAGAGCGAGCAGGCTTAGCAGATCACAACTAAAAAACATGCAGAAGGGACAGTGAGGGCAGTACTGGAGCCCAGGAGCAGAACCTTCCTGCCCAGGCCAACTGGGTCACCTGTCACCGGATTAGTCAGCCTCACACAGGGACCCTGTCTCATTCATCTTTGAGTCTTGATGTCTAGTGGAGTGTTGGCTTATAGGTGCTGGATGGACTCAGTGGGTGAGGCAAGCTGGAAGCTCTGTCATTTGGCCGCACTCACACACTTCCTGATCCCTGGTACCTTGTTACCTGTTCTTGGCGGTGATGTAGGACATGATGTTTTGATTGAAGAACTTAAGGATTAAAGGGATGCAGTTGGCAAAAACCAGATGCTGGGCCATGTATTCAAACTGAAAAAAACAAGAGGAAAAATAACTGTGCTCCTTGGGACTTTATCCTTCTTCTTCCAGTGATAAAGGGCCTGGTTGGAGGACTGTGTCTTAGAACATTCATGCACAGCTCAGAGAGGGTTTGAAGGCCAAGGCCCGTTTCTCCAGGATGGAGGAGGAGTGCTGCATACAGTACCTGGTAGATGTGGTTCAACTTAAAGTGCTTGAGCAGCAGCAGCAGGACAGCAGAAATGGCCTTAACAATGACCTCTTTGTGGCGGTTCACATCCACCCCCAGCTTCATGCTCTGTAACACTGTGGTACTGGAAACACAATTACTGGGGTGAGCCGCTAGCATGTTAGGCTCACACGGAGATGAATCACCAAAAATTCCCTAGCCAAAGGCTCCTGCCTCGCCACCCATTCCATGGACATCTCAGAGGTCAAGAGCCAGGCCTCATCCTCCCTAAAGCAATTTAGCAGAACACAATCTATTTCTTCCCTATAATGCCCCAAGATATCTCCTATTTTCCTCCAAAAATGAACTCCTTCTTTTCAAGATCTCTCCTAAGCTTCTGTCACCATATGCACCATATGAACTGATGTTCCCCAGCGTATGTTCTGTACATTAAGATGTTTCATGTTAAGGAAAAAAAAGCTTTATGATCAGATAAACTTTAGGAAGCAGAGTTAAATAAAGTTAAACAAGTATTTTACTTCAGGATTTCTCACTCTAAGTCTGTAGTTAAATATTTGACTCTGGCATGCTTTTAATAAGGAACCACCTGATGGCCTAGTGTACTATGAAGTTCCCTTTGGCATTAGCTAAGCCTGGTCTCTTCCCTCCCTGGGCTCTCACTGCCAGACTCAAGGCCCAGCCCAAGGGCAGCACAGAGTCTGCTCACTGGCAGACTCCACCAGGGAGGTTGGCTGTGAGTTGGCTGCTATCGGCAGGTAGGCAGGAGATCAGGGCAAGCCCTGGATCCTTCTCAAAGGAGAACATGATCTCAGTATATACTCTCACATCAAAGAGATGAGGTCAGTGCCCCAGGAATGAAGAACCCCTGAGGGTTTCACTCGATCACCCTGAGACATTTACAAGTATTCTGGCTGCTAGTTCACTGACAAGCAGGAAAGCAGCTACATTCAGCTCAGGTTCAGCTGTTGCCTGGCATGTTACCTAGATGCTAACCCTACAAGTCCTAATGTCCCAACCTCACAGTTTTACAGGGGGGCTTCAGGAAAGTGTCTAATGAGGCTACATTCAATTTACAGAAAAGGAAATGCCTTTCCCCAATTCACTCAGGAGTTTACTCAGTGGCAGAGACTACAGAATGTAGGCCAAATGGACTTAGCCATCTCCCCAACTAGTAAAATTTTTCAATCCAGTACACTTTCCTTTTTATGAGCCAGGAGTACCCTACACTTAACCTGCAGAGAAGTTAGACAAAAAAGAAAGAAAGAAACCAACCTAGCAAACAGTAGGACCAAAAAGAAAACATTTCCCATTTCCCTGCTGCCCCCTGACCTGCTCCATTCGTAGGAATGACACTCACGGCATCTCCTCAGGCAGGACATCTGCTAAGATGTTGATTGAGTCTGTTTTGGCCTTGGAGGTAGGAGCTGCAGCCAGCAGGATCTTTAGCAGGGCGATCTGTGGAAGAACAGACTAGTCAGATGCCATACAAGGAGCCCAGGACCAGAACTAAGCCTGAGATGTGATCCTACTACAGGTCTTCAGGTGGCAAAAGGAGGGGTCAAAGGGGTCATGTTCTTAAAGCCAAGATTGTAGGGAGGGTAATCCTACTGCAGGTACTGACTGATGCCCACCAAGAGGGCCCCAGACATAGAGCACCCCCAAGGATGAAGCAATAGCACTCACCATATACTGAGGCAGGCTGGGGAGCAAGCCTTGGTAGAGGGTTTCTGCAGGAACTTGCTCGACTTCCTCTTCTCCCTTTTAACACAATGTGCACAAATGCAAAACCCTAGCCCTGACTACAGTCTCCCGGACCAGCTTATTGGAAGGGTGGGGGAGATCCTGCAAGCAGTGATGTAAATAATGATACTGAAGATCACAGCAAACCCTGAGCACATACAATGTGTTAGGCATTTCACTTGTAACAACTAAGCATTCTAAGCATTTTATTTGTAGTAATTCAGTTATTACTAATACAATGCTATGAAAAAAGTATTATTATACCCATTTTACAGATAACCAGAAAAACCAAACTCACTGCCACTGAGTCGAATCGGACTCATAGCGACTGCTCCTTGGGTTTCCAGGGTGCTATCTCTACAGAAGTAGATTGTCCAACCTTCCTTCTGAGGAGTGGCTGGTGGGTTTGAACCGCCAGCCTTCTGGTTAGCAGTCAAATGCTTTAGGAACTTGAGCCACCAGAGCTCCCTATTTTACAGATAAGGAAACTAAAGCACAAAGAGATTCAATAACTTGCCTATGTCACTGCTCCACTAAATGGTGAAGCCAGAACTCAAAGGCAGGTGACCAGCTCAGAGTTCGTGCTCTTAAGCTCTGCACTACACGTGTGCCACTCCTTGCTGTGACAGCTAGACTGGGAGCTTCCTGAGGGCAAGGTCTGGGGCGGTTATATGACCTGGGCCCAGCACAGGGCCTGGGAACAGCTGGGGATCCTGTGGGCTACAAAAGACATCCACTCACCCCAGAGAGAGGAGATCGAAGGTACTCCTCCTCCATCTGTGCCTGGACCTCTGCAATCGACGTATACTTGTGCTGGGGAGAGAGCAGGGAATGCAGGCGTTGGAAAGTACCCCTCCTTCTCTGGCCAAACGCCCTACATCCTGGCAAAGACTACAGACACTGTTCTTCACAGTCTTCTGAAAGAGAGCTAAGCTGCTACAGAGATCCCTAACCAGACATGTGAGAACTTTCAGTTCACTCCCTCTTATGACCAATGTGAAAAGTCCACAGCAGATTAGAAAAAGCAAATTAAAGGAGGGAAAGCAGATTTCAGATAGACAGAGGGAGAGGAGAACTGCTACTAAAAGTGGAATCAAGAATTCAAAGAGCCTAGGTTAATTGGGACACTTAGTACTATAAAATTTAAAAATATTATTTTAAAAACATATAAAGATTTATACTTTGGATATGTGTTGTTAAGAGTTACACCTATTCTCCACTTATGATATTTCTTTCAACACAGAGAGACATGCAGTTTGCCAAACACTCCTGGTTTCTCGTTGTCCCTTCTCACACTCACTCCTCCCCTCTCTGACTGGTGAGTAAGGGAGGAATGGCCCAGCTGGTTTCCTTTTTCCTGTTAGAATCTGCCTGCTGAGAACCTGTGCACTTTTCTGCTTCTGCTTCAGATCCTCTGCTCCTTGATCGGGCTTAGCAAGTGTACAGGGTCTGGGTAGGTGAGCCCACCTAATTCTGGACATTCAGTATCATGACAGCTATTGCTGCTATGTTCCTGAGTCTCATTCTCTGATAGCTCCATCAGCAGTAAAGCTGGCATTTTCATCTCTATTTGCACACTCCTCTAACTCAATCACTGTGTTAGGACGTGGACAAGGAAGGAAACCAAAAACTAAAACTAAACCCACTGCTATCAGGTTGATTCCAACTCACAGTGACCCTATAAGACAAAGAATTGTCCCACAGGTTTTGTTAAAGCTGTAAATCTTCATGGAAGCAGACTGCCTCATCTTTCTCCGGCACAGCAGCTGGTGGGTTCAAACTACTGACCTTTTGGTTAGTAGCCTAATGCTTTAACCACTGCACCACCAGAGCTCCTAAGGAAGGAAAACCAAACCAAACCCACTGCCATCAAGTTGATTCTGACTCATAATGATCCCCAAAGGGTTTCCAAGGCTGTGACTCTTCATGGAAATAATTTGCCTCATCTTCTTCCCACTGAGCAGCTGGTGGGTTTGAAGTGCTGACCTTCTGGTTAGCAGCCAAATATCTTACCCACTATGCCACCAGACACAGGATAAGGAAAGAAAAGGGAAGGCTATTTACTGGATTCCTTAGTACTCCAACAACTGTCAGGTAATATAATCTTTAATGAATCCCTAGTCAGTCACAACTCAAAGTTCAGCTTAACCAAGTAAAACTGATGAGAGACTGTTTAAAGACTATGGTGGTGTAGTGCCTAAGGCACCTGACTGCTAACCAGAAGGCTGGAGGTTCAAACCCACCAGCTATTCCTCAGAAGGAAGCTTTGGCAATCTACTTCCATGGTGATACTGCCTCAGAAACCCAAGGAGGGGTTGCTATGAGTCGGGTCTGACTCCACGGCGCATAACAACAACAACAAACCCATTCCTCCAGCCCAAGCTCTTTCAGGCAGACTCCCAATTCAGGCTTCTCCCAATGGGCTGGTCTCACTTCCCTCACTTGGGACCAAACTAGGCCAAAAGTTCATCCAAAGCCACTTACCTGTTTCAGTGTCTTGATGCTTTCGTGGATTGGTCTGGGCAGCCCCACCACTGTGTTTGTGTCACTGGAGAATAAAGGAGGCCCTGTATTCAGACTAGATATCAATTCGCCTGGGTCCCCAAACACCAAAGGCCAGCAAAGCGAGCTTCCTGCCACCATTCTTTAAGAGGAACTTGAACCACACTCACCTGCCCAGGGTGTAACCTATAAATTTGCTACGGCTAGACTCGAGGAACATCTCAATGTCTTTTTCTCTGCCCAAGAAAGAAGACAGAAAAGATTTTATTAAACATGACTTGAAGGTGGCAGGGTTAAGAGAAGTAAAACTTCCAGAAATTATGATGCCAGGATTTTGAAGAAAAAGTTTTCCCCCAATTGTTTTTATGGGGGGGGGGGGGATATCAAAATAGAAAAAACTGAAACCTTCACTACTATAATGTTCTTTTAATTTTCTTGGGTTGATAACCTGAAGACATATTATGTTTAACCAGTTCATTCAAAAATTTAAACTGATACATCAAATTTAGAAACACACTTTACGTAGAATTTCTTAAAGGTTTAAAATTTTTGTAACAATTGGATGTATTAATGGGTCACATTATCCTGTTTGAAGCAATAAGATGTATCTGTGTTTTCTGATGACCTGCTTTGCATCCTCTTCACAGACCGCTGAAAACTGAGGCTTTACCTGGATCAAGAAAGTGACTTCTATTTCCTTTCACATTTCATCTGTTCCTTAAGATAGGGTGATTTCAAACAGATACTTTTCATATAGGTCAAGATCTCTTTCGATTCAGTTACTTACCCACATTGATTTCAAATATCTTAATCTCTGTTCTAAAGAAACCCTTGCTTAAAATCTACCATTTTTCAGTTAATAACCATATATATCCTGAGGGAGAATGGTTCCTCTTAAATATCCTTGATTTTATTTTTTGCTAATCCCCTTCACAGGAGCTCTGGTAACATAGTGCCTAAGGCACTTGACTGCTAACCAGAAGGCTGGCGGTTCAAACCCACCAGCCACTCTTCGAAAGGAAGGTTGGGCAATCCTACTTCCGTAGTGATACTGCCTCAGAAACCCAAGGAGGGGTCGCTATGAGTCGGGGCCGACTCAACGGCAAATAACAACAACAACAACAACAATCCCCTTCACTAGCAACATGTCTAACTAAGCTACTTTCAGTAACTGACTTAAGAAGGGCCCTATTCATAACACACTACACAAAACATTGTTCCACCTCTACATTGGTGAATAGTAACCGGGATCTTAAAAGCTTGCAAGCAGCCATCTAGATGGAATGATGGGTCTCTCCTCATCCAGAGCAAAGAAGAATGAAGAAAACCAAAGATTCATGGAAACAATTAGTCCTAGTGACTGGTACACCATGTGATCTGCAGCCTATATGACTATGAACCAGAATAACTAAATGGTGCCCAGCTACCCCTGTCAACCACTCAGAGGAGGATCTATGTAGGAGATCCTGGGTAGATATGGAGAACAATGTGGAACAAAACTCAAAATCATTTGGAAAAGAAAAAGGAGTCAGGGGACCAGTTCTGCCGGTCTGATAGAGCCTGGTAGAACCACTGAGACTATGGTCCCTAGCTGCCCTTCAGGTCTGGAATTGAACTCACACCTGTGGCTTCCAGCCAAACAAAAGACAGGCATACCTAGGAGTTGAACATTTACCTGAGGTAGATATACTACTCCTTGGAGAGAACAATCATGGGAGAAAGAAGGGCTGTTTATGCACAGGGAGACAGCTCAGGGGGCAGGAGTGAGTGGAGGGATGGACACAGGGAAGAGGTAACTATAGGGAGGAAATGGGAGGGGAGCTGTTACATTGGGGTAAATTGTAGTCAATGTCATAAGACAAAGTGTATGTGACTGCTGTATGGAATGTGAATTTACTCTGTAAACTTTCACCCAAATCACAGTATAACTAACTAACTAACTAAATAAACAAAATATCAATAACAACAAAAAAAAGAAGGGCCCTAATGCAAAAGGTTAGCCACTGTGACCCCTGGGGCAGCACAGGGTGCTTTAAGAGCTGCATGCTAGAGCCAAGGTCAGCCTGGTTCCACAGAGCACCTCAAGTGCTCCAGGCCATGCCAGGCCTGGAGGTGTGAGGGCTTACTTCAGGAACAAAGAGTACTCCAGAGGACTGAGACTCACCTGACCTTGGGAGCCCATGGGAGTCCCTTGGGGCAGGTAAGTCGGTCGGTCTGGGGGTGCTGTAGTGGTGGAGGCATCACTTCATCCCGCTCAAGGGGGAACGTCTCCCCCTCCAGGCTGTTGTCATCATCGTTCTCCTCTTCCTCTTCTCGAGAATCATCAGCCTTGTATGGATCCCGCTCATTGAAGGCATCCAAGTTGTCCTGCTTTATCAAAGCCTGAAAACAGAGGGAAGGCAGATCCAATAGCAAGAGCCAACTGAGGAAATAGGAAAGGGAAATGAGGTTAGAGTAGATTTAATACCAAAAAGTAGACAGCTAAGGGCTGTAGAAGACCAGAGGAGGAGTCAAGGTGGGATCAAATTACAAATCACTTCTTGTTCCAGTCCCTCAAAAGTTGTAAGTATCCACTATAAAGTGGACCCTGGCTGGGGACCAGCGTCCCTGCCCTAGAGGCATTCATTCCGACTAGCTGATCAGAGAGGATTTCCCAAAATCCCACTCCTCCAGGGACCACCTTGCTGCATCTGTGCACCTTGATAACTCTCAGGAGTCACAGGGACCTGTCACCATACCTTGTGCTCCCGGCGGCCCCGTTTCTGCTGCTGCTCAATCAGGTCCGAGGCAGACGCTGGAGGCGAGGCAGCCCTCATATTGCGGATCACTTTGATGCTGTCCTCAGGCAGTGGGGGGAGGCCCAGGAGAGAGCGCTTCTCAGCCTTCATGCTCTGCAGCTCCTCAAAGCCACCCAGAGTGCACTGCATCACAGGCAGGGGCACAGAGCCAGGGTGAGTGTGCCCACAACATATCTGGCTCCCTGGCCACCATGTCAGGCACATGATACCACGACCTATCTCTTTTCAGAGATCAACACACTCTCTGATCAGGGGACTAAAGCCACCCCAAAGAATAATTCAGTGACATCCACAAGGGAGAACAGAAAAAAGAACATGGAAGGAGTTGAAACAGATTGACCTAACCCAGTGCACAGATACATTTAATTCTGTATGTATGACAGACTCTTCAATTGAAAAAAAAAAGACATACTAAAGAGCCTAAATCTTCAAGTTCCTAGAGAAGTCCACGAGACTCGTATGTTTCAAGTTATATATGCCAGCCTTTCAAAGTCAAATTGGAAATGTACTGTTGCATTCTCAAATTTTAGAAAAGAAAGTTTCATCCAAACATCTCCTTAGAAGATGCACTGCATAGTAATTTTAGCACTGTTCAAATACTGCACAGTAATTTTAGGCTGGTTGGTTTCAATTTTTCTGAATGATTCTGCTTTCCTTTCTGCCTTTAGTAAGGCTTTGTGAGGAACCAAGAGGATATATTGTTGTTGTTGTTATGTGCCGTGGAATCGGCCCCAACTCATAGCGACCCCTCCTTGGATTGCCGAGGCAGTATCACTATGGAAGTAGATTGCCCAACCTTCCTTCTGAGGAGTGGCTGGTGGGTTTGAACCGCCAGCCTTCTGGTTAGCAGTCAAGTGCCTTAGGCACTACGCTACCAGAGATCCTAACAGGATATATGGCCAAGATAAATTATGTAAATGAGACTTTTAAGAGGCCACTAAATTTGCTGAGCCCCTGGCTCCACAGAGCTGGCCCATTCTGACAGGAGAGGGGAGGTTGAGCCCTTCTTAGGCCACTCCTCCTGGTAAGAAGGACTCCTGGCTTGGCCTGGATCTGACTGCTGACAATGGCCTCAAGTCAAGCACACCGCTAGCCCATTCCCCTGGCACCCACTACTTCTCTAGCTAGGCAGAGAGTCAGGTTTCCTGCCATCCCCTGAGGAAAATGAAGGCTAGCTCAGGGCTCACTTTTGCTTCCTTCATCTGACTAAGAGGCCCAATTACACCAGCTCTAATTTCAACCAATTTCTCCTCAAATCACTTTATAAACTCCAGGTTCAGGAGCCACTTCCTGAGAGGCAGCCCTGTCTGGGAAGAAGAGGTTCTGTGACTAGAAAAAACAGCTACGAGGATTCAGGGAGCTGACAAACTATTCTGACTCAAAGACCAAGTTCTCTTTGGCTTCAGTGGCACTTCTTTTGTTATCTCCTTTCAGGACATTTCTTTTCTAAATTTTGTTTTCTTTGTAACCAAAGTGATAAAAAGGTGCCCTAGCCACTGAACTTCTGCTAAGAATGATGAAAAACATAATTAGTATAACTAAACTATACACGTAAAGAGTGCTGCAATGGGAAATGTTTTGTTACATACGTTTTTACCACCATTTTTAAAAAAGGGCCCTTAACACCTGAGTCTTCTTCCAAGGAGGTACTCACCAATACTGTCTTCCAGAGCAGCAAGAGGACTTTCTTCATGGGGAAGTGAGGGGCATGGCCACTGCAAAATTTTGTGACCATTCCAAACAGCATGATGGCAAATGGCTCGTTGTTATACAGCGGGGAACCTGGAGGTATTATAAAGGCATGAGGACACAAGCAGGAACGGGCCACTCCCCAAACCCTGAGCCTGTGGCTGCCCTCTCAGGCAGGGGTTCTAAGCAGGATCCCGGGGTCCTACCCAGCTCAGCCCTGAAGGTCTGCCGCATCGTCCTCCACTCAGCCTTATCACCCTCATACTCCTGGTGAACGGTCTCCACAGTCAGGTACATGATGTTGAGCAGGACCCTGAGGACAAGAGCTAGCTCATAGTGGGACAGGACAGGGGATCAGAGTGCACCCCAGTTCCTCACATCCCAGCTGACATAAGCCTGTACACAAAGGCTGGCTGGTGGAGGCTGGGGGAGGCTGTAATATAAGAGAAAACCTAGAAAAGGAAGACCAAAATTCAGGAGTCTCACAGATCAAAGGAATGTTTAAGCCTTTCCCCCTCTGTGCTTCCTTCTGTTTCACGTTACTATGGCTGGGACCAGATCTTATTCTGTTTTGTATCTCCAGTGTCCAGCAAGGTGCTGACATAAAGGAGGGACTTAACTAATGGCTGCTGAGTGAACATGAGTAAGACTGCCCAGAAGCACTCACTGACCTAAGTTCCCTGGGATGAAAAATCACAGAGGTGGGAATGAGTGGTGGAAATGGGTGTCAGGCTGGGGGGGAAAAAATGCAGACAACACTTAAAGTATGAACAGTGAAAGAGGAAAGGGATAGAGTTTATCATGATAGAGTGGAAATCAGAGAGGAGTGACACCCAGGGATCCTAACTACAGTGGGAAGCACCACAAACCCAGGGTCTGAAAAGATTCTGTGGTAGTTAAGTTTGTGTCATTTTGGCCGGGCCTGGTTGAGAGGCTGGGCAGCTGGATGTAGTATTCCCCATGATGAGACTGGTAATCAGCTTCATGGTGGAATCTACTGTGAGCAGCTGAGTAGCTGCCTTAGAGATGTGGTCTGGTTTCTGTACATAAGGAGAAGCCTTGGGGAACAGTCTTTAACTTATGGCATGCTTGAATCTTGCATGTAGCCATGTCACTGTTCAGTAGCCTGTCATGTTCTGCTGACCTTGGGACTTTGAATGGACTTGAATTAATGGCCTGCTGTGTGGTTTGGTAACATCGGGACTGTGCCTTGTTACTTGTCAACCTTGGGGTTGTCAGGTTCAGTAGCCAGCAGTGGAGTGAAGAAAAGCCTCCAGTTTCAATGGGCCGTGAACAGGAGGCAGAGCTGAAGCCCAAGGTTGAGGGACTTTCACCCAGCCTCTAGAGCCTGGCACTTTGAACTCAGACTTAAAGCCTCCAAACTGAGGCTTTAAGTGGCTCAGTTCTCAAAAGAGAATAAACTCTTCTCAAAAGAGAATAAACTCCTGTTTCTTCAAGCCATCCCATTTGTGGTATATTCTTGTCAGAGCGGTACTAGGTAACCAGAACAACTTCTAAATTTATAAAGGAGAGAGATTTTAGCCCTCACAAAAATGAGAAGATACTGTTGTTGTTTAACAGTGGCTATTACTTCCTACGTAGCCTCAAAATATTATATACCAGTTAGGACTGACCCAATGTTGATGGGGATGTTGTGGCAGAAGGTGGGAGTCCATGGAGCCACACTGTGTGCCTCCCAAATACATCATACAACCCAGTTCTCAGCAGCAGTGTGAGCAGGAGGTCCAAACTTCACTGGGGTTCTAGTAAGTGAGTTGATCCAGGATTTTTTTCCCTTGGGAGACTCAACGCAGTCTCACCTAGGTAGAGCCCTCAGCTGACATCACTCACCCTGAGCCCATCACAGCTGCAGATTAGTGTGTGCAGAAGAAATATACAGTGAGGAAACCCAAAACCACCTTCCACACCCTGCTCTGGTTCTCCAAACTGGCTTAAGCTCCCAAAGGCCCAGGCCTGCTGCTTGCCTCACCTCAGATCTGTGCTGTCAGCCAGGGAGATGGCAGGCTTCCTCACTGCACTGCTGCAGGCGGCACTGTTGCTGCAGGAAGGATTTGAGAGTCAGCAACTTGCCCCAGGAAGGAAGATAAGTGATTGACCTGACAAGTGTTGTCCAGTGGAGGAATAAAATACTGTAAAATGTGTATCCAAGGCTGCAGGGCACAGCATTTAAAAGCTCGGGTCCTGGATCAGACTGCCAAAATTTGAACCCTGGCTCTGACATTAACTAGCTGTGTGCCCTTGGGCAAAATACTTAATTTCTCTGGGTTTGTTTCCTCATTTACAAAATGGGGTTGATAATAATACACGTCATTAACATGGATTAGTACATGCAATGTTCTTAGAACAATGCCTGGGATATGGCAAGAACTTAGTGGGTATTCCAAGCTATTATTATTGCTGTTACCCTTAGATAAGCAGCAGCTGACCTGTTCAACAATTAACCAGTGGTAACACATGACTAGAGCGGGCTTTGGTTCACTCATGTGTCAGACATGGGGCTGACCTCATGCTGAGGGGAAAAATTTTAAAACAAATAGGAGCTCTGGTAGCATAGTGCCTAAGACACTTAACTGCAAACCACAAGGCTGGCGGTTCAAACCCACCAGCCACTCCTCGGAAGGAAGGTTGGGCAATCCTACTTCCGTAGTGATACTGCCTTGGAAACCCAAGGAGGAGTCGCTAAGAGTCGGGGCCGACTTGACGGCAAATAACAACAACAACAACAACAACAGTGAGTCTACAGGTTCAAACGAGATTTCAAAATGAAAGGACTCCTTTTGAGGGGCACCGTAGGCCTGGCAGGACCTGCACTGTCTGGTGTAAATTCTCTGGCATCACAGAGCTACAAGGACTATCCTCTGGAAGCCTCATTAGTCTTCAAGGTTTGGGTGAGCAACTTCCCCCACTATCTAACCCTGGTGGTTGTAACAATCTGGGACCAGACCCTCAGCCCTGTGCTGCCCATTTAACCCTCTCAAAGCTAGTTATTATTTCTACAAACTCTGTCCCCCTTCCCAGCCCTGTCTCCCCTCCTCCTACTCAAGCCCCTCAGATGTAGTACTCACTCTATTTCCATGTTCAGAAGCTCCACCAGAGCATTGAATGTGCCCACTTCCAGGAGTAGGAAGATGTTGTAGCGCATCCAGAACTGCACCTCCGCTTCTGAGCTGCACTCCCCAAAAGTGCCTGCAAGCACAGGGCACAGCTCACTGAGCCCCTCCCCCCATCAGACTGGGTAATGCCACTGGCAGAGGCGCCAGTGTCTCTGGGGTATTCCACTCAGTACCTTGAGCAACATAGAGAATTGCGCGGGCTACCTTGAGCCTCTTCTCTCTGGCAGTGACTTCCAAGCCATCTAGGAGCCTCATGGCATGGGTGCGGTGCTGGTTGGTGTCCAGCTCAGTCCATTTCTTGTCCATCACTGTAAGGCAAAAGATTAGTTACACCTACAGCCAGAAAAATCCTCACAATGGAGCAGACATGGTGTTAACCCACCAAATCTAAGACTGCCATGGAACCAGAAAACTCAGAAAGACAAGTTACTTCTTGTGTAAGGGATAACTTCACACTGCTGTCCTATGTATCTGAATTTGCAGACTGGAATGCTGATATTTTCGGTGCAATTTTATTCAGGTAGAGATTTTATTTTCTTATATTCATGTTCTAAAAAGCCAGTACCAGAGTACCCACAAGCCTACTCTAAATGCCACATCTGGCCTTGCATAATCATGGCTCAGCAGGTTTCTTAGGTCACTCCAGGGTGACTGAGGTCATTCAGATGACTAAGAGAAACTTGCAGCTCTCATATTGCAGTATGAAAGGAGTCAAGTGGGAAAACCATCTCACCATGGATCCGGAAGTCCTCCTCAAAACATTTTCTATTCATCAGGAACTCTGGCCCTTCTGTGTAGCTGTAAAGCTCTGTAAAGAACAGAGTCACATCACCATCAGCTCCACGTCCACATTCCACACCCAGGTCTCACACAGAACAGAGAAGATAAGGCATTTGCTTCTAGTCTCCACTCTACCCCTCAGTCACTGTGACTCCTGGACTATGCTAACTACCAACGGAGCCTTACTGCTCTGATGTGGCGATGGAGATGGCCAATTTGCTTTGCAAGGGATAACCAGAATTCCAGTTAAGCAGAAATCCGGGCATTTCCAGTCTGACGTGCATCCATCCCCCCATGCCATGCTAGAGGCTGACCATTATCCTGAACATGTGTCTCTCAAGTGGCCACTACCTCCTGTACGCAGCCTGTACTATGGAGGCTTGAGAAGCAGCTCAAGCTAGCCTCACACCACATGTGTTCCCCAGGAGCAGCAACAGGTAGGCACAGATGCAGCCACACTTGCTGGTATCCCTGTGACCCCTTGCTTGAGGAAAGACCACTATCAGGGGATAGTTTATGGAGAAAACACCACTAGCTGTCCCACGTTGGAACTGGACCCTAGAGACAAGTGAGCTGACTACAGGGATGATTCATAAAAAGTGCACAGTAACCCAAAGTCCTGTTTTATATATGTTATCAGGAGGGCTAACTAAAGAAAAATCTCTAAAACATATTCATGATTTTAATTCTCTAAAAGACCAACAAGAAAAAAAAATCTATTTCTCCCATTCCCAACCAATACAAAGTTACGTATATTACCAGAGAGCTCCGCAGCCCACTTGTCTGTGTCTGCATACTCAAACTCCAGATCTGGCGACTCGGAATAGCCCTGTTGAGAACAGAAGAGAGCTTTATTATGCAAAAGATCTGAGTGTTTTTAAAAGGAAAAAACATATGCTTCCAGACACAATGTTGTATTATAAGATATCATCAATTCCAATTTTTTGATGTTCTATCATAATATTTTGTCTCCTGGGCTAGCTTATAAAACCAGTCATGGAGTTGATTCTGACATGGAGACCCCATGTGTGTCAGAGCAGCATTGTGCTCCACAAGATTTTCAATGGCTGATTTTTTCACAAGTACATTGCCAGGCCTTTCTTCCAAGGCACCTCTGGATGGACTTGAACCTCCAACCTTTCAGTTAGTAGCCCAGTGCATTAACTACATGTATATCACCCAGTGAACCCTCTCAGGGCATCTTATACTTTTCCTTCAGAGAACTTTTTAAAAAATATTTTCAGAGCACTTTTTCAGTGTCATAACATTTGTTTAGTGTCCATCTCTCCAGGAGACTGCAAGTTCCTTGACAGCAGGAACTCTGTCCATTTTGTTCACCAATGATTTCACAATGCCCAGCACAGTACCTGGCATGATGAGTGAACAGGTTATGCTCAAATAATACCTGTCAGATGAATGAACACAAAGCTTCTCTGTATTTTGTACACTGAATAACCATTCCACAGGGTGCTAAGGTTCAGGAAGTCTCACTTCTGTCTGGCTATTGGGCTATCAAATGCTCAGGACAGAGTGGGTATTGAAGCCCTCAGCCTTCCTGTCTCTCTCACTCTAATTTCAGTGAGAATTGACAGATGGAAAAGGCAGCAGCCACACAGAATGGCTTCCTCCCACACATAGGGGAGAATGTACCAAGGGAATCTTTTTACTGCTGGGGATAGGTGATTACTAAAAATACATCATCTTGGGCGCCACATTTTTATAACCCTCCACGGTCAAAAGGTATCAAGCACTCACCATGGCTCCCCACCACCCCACCATTCAAGGGCTCCTGAAAGGTCAGTTTCTTAGCTTTTTCAAATAATCCACTTCAAGTTCCACTTCCTGGGACTTGCTAAATTTTGACATGTTCTACCAGAAGTTTGGGCTTGCCAACACAAAAAAACAAGTCAGAGAGGAAGGGATATCACAGGTCTAAAGATAGTATCATCACTCTTTGGTATGACCTGATAGTTTTTCTTGGACAATGATAAATTCTTGCTCATTAATAAAAGCCTGACTGCTGATCAGCCTGCTTGAAGTAATCTCAGGTGATGGTGACCTCATAGGTAAGTGCTCTGGAAACATGCTGATTAAAAAGTCCTAAAACGCTGCGAAGTGTGTATGTCTTCATTCATGAATTCTACAAAAGGAGGCAGTGGGAGGAATTGTTTAACTCTGGGTGAGGTGAACAGTTGACTAGCTCCAGAGTAGAGAACTAGCGTCTCTGGGACAGAAGAACAGCGCACTAGCAAGAGTTGGGAGGAGAGGAGCCCTAATGTATGTTTAAAATGTACATATCTGATCTTAACAGTTCAGTGTCAGATACACTGAGCACAGCAACCACCAAACACTGTCACATTATGGCCTGAACCTGCACTGGCTAAGGGAACGTTCCCCCCTCCCATTTTCGCAACCTCCGGGTGCGTAGTACTATTAGGGATAATACCTCCGTCCGGCTTCAAAGTGCTTTCTAAATACTGGCCAGTCCCATCCCTGCCCACACACGCCGTCCACACAGCGCTGCAGAACCACCAGGCCGGCGCCCGATATCAGCGACCAAGAAATTATTAGGGGTTGGTGGCGCAGCCGTCCCGGCCCCCTGGAGCGCACGGAGACCATTGACTCGGGACGAGGGTGGCTTCCCCAAAAAAGAGGTCCCCCAGGCTGCGGCCGCAGCCCAAGCCCAGAACAGCAAACAAGCGGTCACTCGGCTCCAGACAGTTTCTCCCGGGCGACGGGGCTCGGGGCTGAGACTTCGGCTTCACGCCCCCGGCCCTGAGGGGGTGCTAGCCTTGCTTCTTGCTCCTCTTTTGTAAAATGACAGCTTCCCAGCCGGGCCCGTCGACCGCTTCAGGAAGCCGGGCTCGGACCCTCGAACAGCCTGAAATCCAGGACCCCCGCCGCCGCCCGCCGGATGCCAGCCTCGCCACCCCCAACCCCGCCCCGAGCTCCTGACCTCCGAGTCTTTGCGCTGGTTGCGGTTGAATTCTCGGGGTTTACCCCCCGGCAAGAGGCCCCCGCCGGCCCGCGGTGCCCCAGGTGGAGGCTGCGCAGATGCGGGTGGAGGAGGTGGCGGCGGCTGGGGTTGCTTGTTGTTCAAGATCAGCGGGCTCGGACAGCCGGGTGCCGGCTCCATCTTGACTGCTCCACACCCCCAGCTCAGTTCTCGAACAGTAGCAACGATGCAACTCTCGCGTGATTTCCGTCAGGAACTGTCCCTGGTCGCCATATTAAGTGTGGCGGCAAATGCTAGAAGCCATTTTGGATGCCCAACACCATGCGTGGTTCCTTTTGCCTGAGATGTTCTTTTCCTTCTAGGTGTTTTTAGTTTCCACGTTTTCCTTGCAGTCCAAATTTAAGCATCATTTTTATCTGTGAGGCCTCCCTTAGATTCTTCGTCAGGTTGGTTGCCCCCTCCTTCACTCTAATTCGCTTTGCACATTTCTATTATATATATATCCTACGTCCGTAGTGATACTGCCTGGGAAACCCAAGGAGGGGTCGCAATGAGTCGGGGCCGACTCGATGGCACATAACAACAACAACAACATTATAGCCCTGTTCGAGTCTTTGGGGATACAGCAGTGAATAAGATGGACAAGGTCCCAGTCTTCCTGAAGAATACATTCACGTGGGGAAAGACACTACGCAAACAAATAAAACAATTACAATCGTGACAAGTGCTAATCAGTCATGCAACAAATATTTGATGACTACTTCCTGTACTCCAGGCTGTGGGATAAAATGGGGAACAAGTCAAATTTCTGCATGGGTACTTACATAGGTAGAGCCTAGTAGGAGAGACAGAAGCCCTGGTGGAGTAGTGTCTAAGGCATTTGACTGCTAACCAGAAGGTTGGTGGTTCAAAAAAGAAGGTTGGGCAATCTACTTCCCAGTCTGGGCAATCTACTTCCCTAGTGATACGGCCTCAGAAGAACCCAAGGAGGGGTCCCTGAGTCAGAATGGACTCAGTGGCAGTGAGGTTTTTTTGTTTGTTTGTTTTTACAGAAAAGACAGGCTTGGGGAAATAATTCTAATGAGTTTTGAAAGAGGTGAAGGACACATAATGTGGATGAACTTGGAGGACATTATGCTGAGTGAAATACGTCAATCACAGAAGGACGAATATTGTATTAGTTCACTATTGTAAAAAAGGAAAGGAAAGGTTTTTATGTGGAGGGAAACTTTCTTTGTACCAGAGGTGGGAGGGAAGGGAAGAGAACACTGCACACACACAAAAAAATGCATTGACCCATGGTCACTTTAGTTTTGTGTATTTTACTGTATATAAATTATATTTCAATAAAATGTATTTTTTAAAAAAGAAGTGAAAGAGCAAGACATATGAAGATCCATGAAGGTAAAACTGGCAGAAGGACCAATTAAGTGCAGGGGCCCTGAGATCATTGAGGCTGGAACTGAGTGAACCAGGGAAAAATGGAAGGAAATGAAAAATAAAAGGAAGGAGATGAGGGTCAGATAATGCAGAACCTTGAAAGTCATGGAAAGGAATTTGAATTTTATTCTGAGTGAAATGGAAAACCATCAGAAGGTGTTAACCAGGGAGATGTCATGACCTGATGTCTAAAAATCACTCTGGCTGCTCTTGTATAAGGGATTGGAGGATTGCAAGAGTAGATAAGGATAGACAGGTTGGGAGACTATTTTGATGAAGATAATGGTGGCTTGGCCTAAGGCTAATATGATATTTCTATATTTTGTAGGTAAAGTTGACAAGATTTGGTGAAAAACTGGAATTTGGAGGAAAAAGTATAGAAAAGAATAAAGGATGAATCTTAGATTTTTGGTTTGAGTAACTGGGTGGATGGTTGTATCAGTTATTAAAATAGGGTAGCCCTTTTGGCAATGATATATTTGACAAAGGGCTTGTCTTTAAAGTTTATAGAAAACCCCAACACCTCAACATTAAAAAGACAAACAATCCAATTAAAAAATGGACAGCAGCCATGAACAGACACTTCACCAAAGAACATATTCAGGCAGCCAACAAACATGAAGAAATGTTTGCAATCATTAGCCATTAACCAAAACAAACCAAACTCACTTCCATGGAGTCATTTCTGACCCACAGCAACCCCTCCTTGGGTTTCTGAGATGGTATCACTATGGAAGTAGATTGCCCAGTCTTCCTTCTGAAGAGTGGCTGGTGGGTTTGAACTGCCAGCCTTCTGGTTAGCAGTCAAATACCTTAGGCAC